ATACGAAATTAATGATCCTAATGAAAACATTATAAAACAATTATACCCAAATAGACCAAAATACATTTAAAAAGTAGATAATTCTTATAAAAACGGTTCTCCTCAGATAGTTATTTACAAGGCATTTAAATAAAATTCCAAGCAATTTAATTAATTTTTAGAACTTCATATAAAAAAAAAATACATGAAAAATGTTTGGAATTGTAAATGTCCACAAATACCCAACATATTTTAAGGAAAAAGGCATGACGGGTAGGGGAGGGGGCCTTGTCCAAACGGGTCATATTTACAATTATACTTTAATATGTTCACAAACGTTCCATTAGGCAGTGCATGATCAGTGTAGGGAGTCACAAATAGACAAATGGAGGAAAAGGCCCAGCAAAGCAGGCGGTGACCGAAAACACATCTTGGACTTCAGTTCTGTGGGCGATGCAAGTAAATGGAGACCTTGAGTGGCCCAAAGGGTTAAGCGCTCAGCTCCAACTGCAAGTTTGGTTGTCTGCAATCACCCCTGGGCACCTCTGAAGAAAGATGTGCTGATGTACTTCTAAAAGGCCAACCCCCCAAGTCAAACTTTTTGTCATCGAGCTAATTCCGACTCACAGCGGCCCAGTAGGACAGGGCAGAACTGCCCCTGTGGGTCTCCGAGACTGCCGCTCTGTAAGCCTCATCTTTCCTCCCCCAGGCGCTGGTGGTTTAGAACGGCTGACTCTGCAGTTAGTAGCCCAATGAGCAACCACTCAGCCAGCAGGGCTCCACTGACAACTCTACAGAATGCAGTTCTATCCTGCAACGCATGGTGGCCCCATGACTCAAAACCAGCTCTACAGCAAATAGATGGTCTTAAGACAGCAACTGATGATCTGATGGAGATACTCTATTATCATGTATTCCACACGCAGACAACCAATCCCAGGTAGACTGGTTTTAAAGACAAAATAATAAAAATGGCAATACTTTGAAGAGTTATAAACAAATGATCTTGGGGCATAAAGTTAGAAGATTCTTAAGAGTAAGACATAGGGAGGAGATCACAAATTCAGCGGTATTAAAACGACAACTCCATCAAAGAGCAGGGAAAATTAGTGAGGACAGAAACCATCTTGTACTTGAAAAAAAATGTACTTGAAATAAATCAATTACTGCTTTTATTGATGACTCACGCTCTTACTAGTAAAACTACTTCCAGTTTAATGATGCCGACGCTGCTAGGTGCCGTTGGGTCGGTTCCGACTCACAGGGACCCTGTGACCGGCAGCAGAGTGAAACACCACGTGCCCCTGCACCACGGTTACACTCGTTCTTATGCTTGAGCCCACTCTTCCAACCACTGCGCCAATCCCTCCTCGTCGCTGCCCCCGTTTCACCCATTGTGACATCCTTCCCCAGGACCTGGTCTTTCCTGATAACGTCCAAAGTGTGTGGCATGAAACCCTTGCACATTCTGGCTGTACAGCTCCTCTGATGATTTAGGACCCAACTACTGATAAAGAGTTCTATTAAACCAAACCGATGAAGTGAGGTAAACTGTGACCCATGGAGACCCTGCAGGGCAGTGCAGGACACGCCCGGGGTGTCCAAGGCTGTATCTTTAAGGCAGGAGACTGTCATGTCTCTTCCCCTTGGGAACAGGGAACACCGTGCATATGACAAGAGCATGAATTACAGCTCCTTCGAAACCACTAACCACGGATATCAGAGTCTGTTCATACACTTTATGTCAGCTAGGAGAACGTTATAACGTGGCTAAACTACTTAATTGTTACAAAGAGCACTGGCATGACTTAAGTCAATGTAAATACTTCTTAAGATTGTTCTCAAAATGTAGTATGTGTTACAATAACCTTTAAAACAGTTAAAATAGGAACTCTTCTGTTTGAGACATCTGTCTCCATTAAATTAACAAAAGAAAGAGACATCTGGATACAAACACACCAAATGACCGATACAGTTTCTCCCAAAGGAAACTGAACCCAAGGACTTAGACACACACACACACACACACACACACACACACACACACACACACACATCTCACAGGTGGAGCTTCTTCAGCAAAATTTTAGATTTTAGATTCCAATCGAAGACTAGAGGGCAATAGAACCCCAAAGGGACTACATACCAGGGATAGGAGGGACTTTGCTCCAGGTACTCTGGACACTCTCAGGAGAGGTCAGTCCTGGAAAACCTCATCTCGCTTGGTAAGGTAGAAGGGCAGGAAAGAGGAAGGTGCATTGACACAGTGGCTGCATGGACAGACTCAAACACAACAACGGTAAGGGCAGTGCAGGATGGTCCAGTTGCACAAAGAGTTGCTGCACAACTCTTTTATGTTGCACAAAGAGTCGCTGTGGGTCAGAACTGACTGGCTGGCTCTTCAACAGTAACAGGAGAGACCAGTCCCTGGAAAGGATGTCATGCTTGGTAAAGCAGAAGTTGAATGAAAACCCTCAACAAGACAGACCAACACAGTGGCTATGTGGCAGGCAGTTACATAATCTACTGTCAACTCGAGGAAAGGGTGGAGTCTAGCCTGCCGATCAGGTCATAGCCAATAAGGATTCTGTGTGGGCATGGCCTTCTCCTGAGGATTCTGAGAACTCCAGTCTTCCTCACTGGGGGCCAGACACACTTTCTCTTTGCTACACATTCCTGTCAACAAGCCACATGGATGGAGCTGATGGAGCCAAAGCCCTGGAGCTGGAGGAGCCACATGGAGACCCACGCCAGAGCTGAGATGTTTCCACTGCCACTGAATCCACAAGACCTTCTACCCACTGGCCCGTGATCTTCCTGCATTCAGCATCATTGCATGTGCTGCGTGAGTCTAAAGAAGAATTTATGGAATGATATTGGACTTACGGACTTGATCTGGACTGGGCTGAGATGTTTTCTTAATATACAATTACTCTTTGATATAAAGCTCTTTCTTACACACACGAGTATCTATGAATCTGTTTGTCTACTCCACCCAGGCTAACACAGGCTGCAACCGTGGTTCTACCATAACAGCTGCGAGGACGGCACAGCACTGAGCGCCCCTCTGTTGTGCACAGGGTCAAGGTGGGTTGGAGCTGACATGATGGCTTAGGCACAGCTGGGCTAAACCTGGGGAGAAACAAAGCCCCGGGAATTGAACCAAAATTCACGGACGTGTTTTGAACAATGAAAGCAGCACTGTAAAGCCAGGAAAGGAGTGCACCAGGGCTGTAGCCTTTCATTCCCCACACCTATTCTGTCTGCTGGCTGAAGAGGTCCCCCGAGAGGCTGGACGCTATAAAGGAAAAACCAAGGTCAGGGTTAGAAGATTAACGACCTGTGATGCGCAGATGACGCAAACTTGTTTGCTGAAAGTAGGGAGACGCTGACGATCAAAAACTACAGTGTCAAAGCAGATTACCACTCAACATAAAGAAAACAAAATTCCTAACAAGTGGACCGATAAACAACAATTAGGGTAGATGCAACAAACCCAGCGCAGCCATGAGACTTCATTTTACTTGTATCTAGAACCAACACTGTGGTCAAGTCAACAATAGGTAGACTGCATTGGGTAAACTGTCTGCACGCCATCTCTTTAAGGCAGCGGTTCTCAACCTGTGTGGCATGACCCCTTTGGGGGTTGAACGACCTTTTCACTGGATTTGCCTGATTCATAACAGTAGCAAAATTACAGTGATGAAGTAGTAAAAATAATGTTATGGTTGGGGAGTCACCACCACATGAGGAACTGTATGAAAGGGTGGCGGCATGAGGAAGGTGGAGCACCCCTGCTCTAAGGTGTGAGAAAGCAAAGACATCACTCAGAAGACTAAGGAATGCCTCCCATACGCCGTGGTCTCTCCAGTCGCCTGAAATGCACGTAACGCTGGACAATGACTGTGGAAGACAAAGGAGAAATCGAAGACCTTGTGCTAGGGTGTTGGTGAGGGATATTAAACACACCACGGATGCCAGAAGAACAAACCCATCTGTGTTGGAAAAAGCACAGTTAGTACATGCTGAAGAAGCGAGAATGGCTAGACTTTTCGCACCGTACTTTAGGCATGTCCTCGGGAGGGGTCAGTTGATATCTAAGGATGTCACGCTTGCTCAAGCGATCAGAGGAACGAGGAGGAAGACTCTCGGGGAGATAAGTGGGCACAGTGGCTGCAACAAGCTCACCCAGGGATGGCTGGGAGGATGGCAGAGGGCAGCAGTTTCATTCCTTGTACACACTCACTCATCGCCACCCGACAGGACAGGGTTAGAATGGCCCCTGTGGGTTTCCCAGACTGTAACTCTTGGAGTTACACCATGGAGTGGCTGGTGGTTTTGAACTGCTGATCTTAAGGATTGCAGCCCGTCACATAACCAGAGCTCCAGTGCAGACAGGGTGGTGAAGTGAGAGGGAGACCTAGACTGGAATCCGGCTTCCCACACCCTTGAAAGCCTCAAGATACACATACAGAGTGGGTCTGGAGACCCCACCCAGGTTCCGGCTGGACTCAGTACCAGCACCCGCATGCTCCTGGTGGTGTCAGGTCACCTGGACACACTCTTGCTCTCTTCTAGCCCACGGCGCTGGGTGAGACACGGAGCCGTCTGCTTGGACCTGTGCAGAAATGTCCCCCGGGCCTAGCTGTTAGGGTTGAGGGTGGATCTGGAGGACCCAGGTTTGGCCTCCACAGTCAGAGCAGCTCCGTGTCCAGGCCCTGGTCAGGAGACTGCTGTTCAACACAGAACAGCGAGATGCCGGGTAGAGATGGCAATGCTGCGGCTGGTGCCAGCTCTGAGACGCCTATATGGACAGTAAACCCAAGCATCCAAATCTTGAAAACCCACCCTCCGATGTACTGAGGGAGGCCCACTGACAGTCTCCCAGAGCTGTTCCTTGGCCTCCTTGGTCATCTTTTGTCTCACCGAGCAACCACGGTCCCACAGCACATGGTTGGGGCAATTCATATCAAGCCTCACTCACTTACGCTAAGAATAACCCTGTTCCCCAAAGAACTCACCATTTCCTCACTCCAGCTTCCAGAGGAAGAGAATGTCTTCTCTGAGCCCAGCAGTCGCTTCAGGAAGAGGGATGGGGGTGGGCGCAGAGCTCCGGACAGCTAGCGGCAGATGAAGAGTTGGGGCCACACACTAGAGCCGTGGAAGTCCTTCCTTGTGATTCACGGATGTGGGCGATGGCTGCCCCAGGCCCCCAGCAGCCTGGACTACTGGACTAGTTCTCCTGCACTGACCTGGCGACCTGGAAGAGAAGGAGGATGGGAGGAGACGGTGCTGAGGAAGCAGCTTCCTCCCAGACGCCAGGCACTGGGCCTCGCCGAGGGCACTTGGACTAGAGGCAGAAGCAGCTCGGACTGCGGTGCACCACCTGCACTCTCCATGCTGCTCTGTGGCCCCTTCCTTTTGCAAACTTGACGGGAAATTTACTTGCACAGCTAGAAAAACAGCCAGGATGACAAATTTGAGTCTTTTGTTCTCTGGGGAGCCAGGGGTCCCATATGGAAATTGTGGGTTCACAAACTATATAATTTGGTCCCTAATCTGACATTTATGTGGGTGAGTTTTCAGAAAGAACCTACTTTCCCAAGTTTTGTCATGAAACTCATTGCGTTTCATTCACTTTTGGTTATGTGCAGTTACAACCTTCTGTTGCGAGGTTTGCTCATCATTGTTAGCATATTTATTCAACGGGATCAGTGGGAGGACCCTAAATCACGTGGGCTGACACAGCGGCTACAACGACAGGCTTACACAGCAGTGACTGTGGGGGTGGCTCAGGGCAGGACCGGGCAGGGCATCTTCTGCTGAAGACGGGGCTGGTTGCCGGGACTCAGATCACTCCCTGGCCCAGCCCAGCAGCGATCGGATGCCTGTCCCTTTCATGAGCAGCGTGCCTGCCTCCTCCTTGTTCTCAAAGCATGGTGCCGCCAGAACCTCAGCTTCGGAGAGGCCTGGGAGGAATCACTCAACCCCAAAGCAGGAATCATCTGTGTTCTCTGAGAGCAGCTCCCACCTCCGTCCCCATGTCTTCTCACCCCGCTACCCTCTAAGCAAGGAGCACTGGTGAAGCTGCTAACTGCATGATCCGCTGTTCAAATCCACCAACGCTCCAGGGAAGAAAGAGGAGGTCGCTTGCTCCCGTGAATACTTCCAGCCCAGGGCACCCTCGGGAATCGACTCCAGGCCCTGGATTTTGAGCTTGCCCTTGAAGCTGACGTGGACTCTTTAGTCTCTTGACCTCGGTGAAATGTTCTCAGCGAGCATGAACCTTACACCAGCATCTCCCTTTTTTGCATAATTCTTCTTCCTATTCTCACCTAGCCGTGTCTACTTTTAAGCCTTATTCTTATTTCTGCAGTTATTCTTTCCATCAAAATGAGGAGCTTATTCAGTGATGTAGAATCTCCAGCCTTAGCCCAGAATTGTTTAATCAAAATCCACATTTTAAGAGCGCACCTAGAGTTTGCACACTGGCCTTCACGCAGGAGAGGCATTCTCATGGATACTGCAAGCAACTCAAGGAATGAGCGTCCTGTCACCGGATGCTTGTACTCCCTTGCTCGGGGGCAACCAGGCTCCATCCACAGCCAGGCCCCCTCACGTCTCCCTTCACTCGTTCCTAGCAAGCGCCTGATTCTATCAGGGTTGTCTTTCCAAAACCTGTTTGGAGCTCTCTCAAAACTCACTGTCATCGAATCCATGCCGACTCACAGCACCCCCTGGGGGTTTCCGAGACGGCAACTATTTACAGAAAGCCTAGTCTTTCTACCTCGGAGCTGCTGGTGGTTTTGAACTGCCAACCATGTGGATCACAGCCCAGTTCACGACCACTATGCTGCACAGGAACTGCTTAATGGCGCCCAGTGGACAGTCAGAAAAGCCCACAGTCATCAGCAAGGTTCTAAAGGACCTGTGGCCGTCACCTCCTCCCTCCTGGCTCACCCCACCCCGTCCACACTTTGTTTTCCCTGCTCCCAACCTCTTGTGACTTTTACCAAGGAACGGTACTGGCTTCCCCGCTGCCTCGGGAAGGGCAAGCTCCCAGTTTCCAACAGAAATGCTCTTTCTGCTCCCGCCGGTGCTTCACGATGCCCGCCCGACACAACCAGCCACGCAGCTACATAAAACTAATTTTCGGAATCTTCCCTTGAATAATTTTCCTCTTGAAGCTGTCTCGCCTGACTCGCGGGCGAGGCCCTTAGGTAGCAGACCTCCCGGTTTTCCGTGGTTTATGAAGCAGTCTCCCATTGAGTCTGTAGACCTACGGGAGGCACTGTGTGCTCTGCTTTCTTGTCCTTCTGGCCCGTGACTCTGATCATGGAGGGCGCACAGACTACCACCCGTGTACAGGCTCGGGACCAGCACCATCCCCGAGGCTTTCTGCGAAGACACACTCCGCTCGCTCCGTGGGCATGAGCCCAGGTGCCCACTCAGGACTGAACACAGGATGAGCGCGATCAAGGAGCTGAAGCTTTGCTTTTAGCTTTAATGAACTTCAATTGAAATGGGAAGTCTGCGTAGGGAACACGAGGCGCCCTGGCTCCGAGGGACCAACACAGCAGAGAGGGGGTGAGAAGCGCCATCCCCCCACTGCAGAACCCCAGAGGTTTGGCTCTGCTGGACTCCTGCCACACAGGGAAAGAGAAGTGGCTACAGAAAAGGCCATCTTCAACCCAATTTGCCTGTATTTACATGATCAAGGTCAATTTCAACCTAAACTGATCCAGCTCTTTCTGCAGCCTATAGTGACACACTCTCTGAGGGGGCGGCATTTGACGTGAGACCGGCATTGCAAGAAGTACCCAATTCCTACGGCTGAAGCACTTTCCTCCAATCAGAAGAAACGGACGAAAGGCACATGGGCATCTTTGAAAACGTTTGAAAAATGTGTCAAGAGCTCAGCTTAAATGAGTTATGAGTCTATGTGCTATATTTCTTCCACCTCCTCATCCATGGCTGGTAACCATTGGGCCATACACATTTGCCTAATCTAGATATACCAAGCGGATTTTGTTAAAAAAAAAAAAAGATTATGCTAATGGCATTGGACTTTCCAATTTCAGTTAATGATGTTAACCTTTATTCCTACCCAGTGATTTCCAACTTGTAAACGTATACCAAAGATGAGGTATTTGGGGCAACACCGAGGTGTGGCTGACCCTGGAGGATCTGCTGAAGGAGCCTGATTAATGTCATTATATGCCTTCCATTTTTGCCTCATTTCTAATATTTTTTTGTCCCGACACCAGAAATGGGCATAGTTGGTGCTCCAGGAAGCCTGTCGCTCTTTGGCTGCAAAGCTTGCGGTTCAGCCCGCAGCATCCAATACAGCTGACACTCCTGGCAGCGTCCGCCCGGCTAGGACTGGAATCACCGCGGCTGACTTAATCGGGAAGGCAATCCTGGAAACATGATTCTAAGTGAACATTTTTTCCTCCTGAAATTCCCCCCTGGGAAAGTCACAAACGTAGACACTAGTTCCAACTGGTGTTTAACTCTTCACGCGTTTAAACGCCTATAACTGTGAAATATATATTCACAGAGGTGGGATATATTCTTCGCCATTTTCGTCTGTCCAGCAGTCTCAATGAAAGGCCAGCCTGGTGAAGCCCAGGCGCCATTTGGGGCAAGAAAAGGATGAGCAGGCGTATGTCCCTTTATGCATGTGGGGGCTTCAAAGGATTTGGGGTGCGGGGTGGGATTCCAGGATCTTTTCATTCCATTGTCCACGAACGTTTTGATGCCAACTTTATAAGGGCAGCCCTGCCTGAATTTAAGTTCGGAAGGTGCCACCCACGGGTACTCATTGGCCCGCAGGCCAGCTATGTCCTTTCTGGAGGATGATTTTTCCAAGCGACCGCGGATACGCTCTACTTCACACTGCTGTTTTCCGAATAAAAGGACGGCGTGGCATACAATGTAGTGGGCACTGCTGCCCATCTCTTGGGCAATCGCTGGATGGCGAGTAAACAAGACACCTGGGCCCAGAGGAGCGCTGCACGGGAGGTGTCGTCTGTTACTGAGCCTGTGGCAGACGGGCCGACGGGGGGGCCGGGGCTGGGCGGCAAC